GTGAATGAGTAATGATTTGTAGATAACTGAGAAGTAGATAGATAATTGATCATGGGGTAGAGTGATGTCCCAGATGTGGTCTGAGAAATGTCATAATCAGAAGGAAATGTAGAAACTGCATTTGAGGAGGGTAGGTTATGTTTATATATGCTGAGGTATGATGGAGGTTTAGTAGGTCTTGTAGACTTCCTTCTGGTTGGGGAACTGTTTGGGGCAATGTTGTTATTTGTAGTAGAGGTTGGTTGTAGGTTTGGAGAGTTTGTGTTGGTAACAGGATTTTGGACAGTAGTAATTTGAGTGTTGAGAATGGGAGGTGGTTCAGGTATGTTGACAACAGGTATATTATTATCATAATTATAGGGTTGATCAGGTTCAGGGAATAGAAAGGATGAGTCAATAGGTTTAGACTGAAAGGGAAAGACATTCTCATAGAAGACCACATTTCTGGATATTAATGTTCTCTTAGTTTCCAGGTTATAAAGTTTATAGCCTTTATAACCAAGGGGATAACCAATGAGGATGCATTTTGAAGCTCTATGATCAAATTTAGATCTATGTGCAGACAAAGATGATGCATAACACAAGCACCCTATAACTTTCAAATGATCATATGTTGGTGGTTTCTTGTAAAGTAACTCAAATGGAGACTGATTGTTTGAAACTGTAGATGGCACCCTATTTATGAGATGAGTGGCAGCTAATATGCAATCCATCCAGAAAAATAATGGCAATGATGCATGAAAAAGTAAGGCTCTAGCCACTTGAAGAATATGCTGATGTTTTCTTTCTACTCTACCATTTTGTTGGGGTGTCTCAACACAACTTCTCTGATGTATAATGCCATGAGAAGAATAGAAATCATTAAGTAAAAACTCAGTGCCATTGTCACTTCTTATAACTTTAATTTTGATATTGAACTGAGTAAGAACCAAGTTATAGAAGTTGGTTAAATGAGTTCTAGTGTCAGATTTATGAATGAGAGGATAAATCCATGTAACTCTGCTATAATCATCCACAATTGTGAGAAAAAATTTATGACCAGAATAGGATGGAATGGAAAATGGACCCCAAATATCACAATGAATGAGATCAAATGGTGATAAACTTGAAGATGTACTTACTGGGAAAGAGAGTTTCTTTTGTCTAGAAAAATGACAAATATCACAAGGTGTAATATCATGTTGATCAACAGATTTACAAACTGCAAGTTTATTCAATTTCGAGTAAGATAGATGTCCAAGTCTGTGATGCCATAGAGTATGTTCAGATACAGGTAAAAGGGCAGTTTCAGCAGCAGATACATGAGATTTATGAGATACATGGTTTAAGGTATCAGTATGAACAGAAAAATGATAAAGACCATCTATAAGTTCAGCAGAACCAATCACTTTGGTGCTGATTAGGTCCTGTATAGCACAATGAGAAGGCAATGGGTTGGATAACAGGAAATGGCTACGGAGTGAGGAGTATGAGTCATTCAATCCCACCAGAAATTTCATTACAGAGTCAAATTGTTGAGCAGCAGCAATAGCATCATACAAATTACAAGTGCAATGAACAAGAGCACCACAAGTACATTTGAATAACGGCCTATACGTGATATACTCATCCCATAGGGATTTAAACATGTTATAGTATTGTGTGACAGACATAGACCCTTGATCAATAGTATTAAGAGATTTCTCTAACTGGAAAACCCTAGGACCAGAACTTAAAGCATATCTCGTCTTAATCTCATCCCAAACTTCTTTAGCAGTAGTAAAAAACAACAGAGATTGGCGAATATCTTTCGCAATTGAGTTAAGGAGCCATGAGAGAACGAGATTGTTAGCCCGCATCCAAGAGAGATATAGAGAGGGGTTACCAGTCGATGAAAGAGGAGTAATAGATCCATCGATGAAACCTGCCTTGTTTTTGACGCTGAGGGCCATTTGGATGGCGCGGCTCCAGGAAACGTAGTTATCACCGGTGAAAAGCTCGGCGACTATGAGAGCGCCGGGATTGTCACTGGCGTGCAAGTAGTACGGCGACGAGATATCATCGGTAAGATTCACAGTGGTGGCCATCGAAGAACAGATCGAAAAATGGATCGCGATTTTAGGGAAAACAGATCACGAAAAACATATGAGTGCGGAAGCAAAAAAAATCAGTCACAAATCAGAGATTTGTGACCTCTGATACCATGTTAGATTCTAGATCGAAGAACAGAAGACGAGAGTTGAGAAGGAAAAGAGAATATCGGCTATTGAACTTGATGAATGAAAAATTATGGTACAGAGGAGCTGACTCTTAGTATTTATACCTAACACAATATTTGACCTAATGACTAAAGGTAAGGAATACATAATAAAATGACTTACTAAATTACAGTATAAAAAGACTAACTACTAAAATACAGAAAATGAATATTATATATCTAATTATATATTTAACAAAAATCAATCTTATAATTCAAATTGACCAAATTAAGATCCACAACTAGAAAAAACACAGATTCAATCGTTAAAATATCACAATAAAAATTCTAATGGAGATCAATACTAAAATATTCAATTGGAATTAATTACTTTTTAAATTTTAATTGAATTTGATAATTCAAGCGGCCGTTTTTCAATTTTATATTGTTGTAAAAATTTTCTTTGATTTTTTTTTTTTTTTCAACTATTGGAAAAAACTATTGTTGGAATCGTCAAAATCCCACAGAAATTCCAGCAAAACAATGACTGTAGAGGCAGCGACAACCATGGCTCCATTCCGTATCAAGACCCCCGAAGTGAGCTTGCTAAGACCCAACGAACGAAGCGAAGCGAAGTGAAGGAAAGGTTATAACATATGCTCCACTATAAATCCGAGGTGAGGAAGAAGGACCCATTCTTCTTACGGCTAGATCCTATCTCTTGGTCCCTGCGGGGTGATCTCGTAATTCTTGGTTTGTGAAGATGCGTTGTTAGGTGCTCAAATTTCTTTTCCCATTGAGGCTGAACCTAAACCTGTGCTCGAGAGATAGCTGTTCATACACTGATAAGGGATGTATGGATTCTCGAGAAGAGAGCAGCCGTGGTGGTCCCCCTCGGAATTCTTGAAGTTTCATTTATTTATTTTGTAGTGAGTATACATGCCAAAATCGAACTTGATATAGAAAGAAGGTATAATTATCATTACATCCAATGCAAAGATAAAATATAGCCACTTTTTTGTGGGAGTATGAATGATAGCCATTTTGCCCTATAAAATGATGCGCTTACTCTAATTTCCAAATTTTTCAATAAAAAATGTAGAATTTACCAATTATAAAATTCAAGGCATTGTTTATATCATCTAGAAATTATTTATGAAATTTCATAAATTAATTATAGAATTTAAGATGTTATTTATATGAGAAAGCACTAGAAATTATTTCTGGAATACTCGAAGTCATTTTTGGAATTATAGATAATTTTGAGCATGGTTTAGAAAATTGAACTCGACCAGTCGGTTCAACCGATAATCGGTTCGTTGTCCAATTTGCTGGAATGAATAGGTTGCAAGTGAATCGATAAAAAATCGGTCAAAGTAGTCCGAACCAGTCAATACCGGCCGGTTGAACCGATTTGAACCGGTCTAGTTTTTTTAATATTTTTTTAATATAAATAAAAAATTATTTTTTATTTAAATATAATGGATATATTTAAGTTATTATTAGTTAGTTTAAGTATTTGAATGTTCTAAATTGTCTAAATATTAAATTAACAAAATTTTTATATATAACTTTTAGTACTATATACAATATTATATATTTAAAAATATTAATAGATTAAATAACGCTCCAACCGGTTCAACCATCGGTCGGACCAGTGAACCATTAAACTAGTAGCTTGATTGGTTCAGTGACCGATCTGATTTTCGAAACCTTGGTTTTGAGTGATAAAGTGTGAAGGTGGTATTGGTCATTTCGCAAGAAAAATGACTTGTTCATAGTATCGCAAAAGTGGCTATATTTCATCTTTTACAAAATGAAAACACTAGTTAGTAAGGCATCAACATTGGTAAGACACGGAGCCGTTTAAACGGTACGGTTTTATTTAAACCATGTGTGATTCATTTAATTACAAAATACTTGGGACCAATCACTGTCATTCAAGCTCTTAAATGGAGTTAAATCATTTTTATGTAGGACCAATTTAATATAAAAATAATATCTAAGTCTTTAAAAAAATAAAAAGTAATATTAAATTAATATATAGTGGGTCCTATATATTTATATATTTAAATGTATCAACCATGAGTTGGTATTTAAATGAATAAATTTTAATGGAATAATGATGTGCAAATAGACGAAAGAGAGAAACTCTTTTATGGTTAAATGAATGTTAATGCGGATTCCCTTATATTACAACTATAAATAATATTCCTTATTTAACTTTTTTTTTTTTTTAGTTTAGAAATATTGGCTGTGAGTATATCCCGTACAAGTACAATCACAGAGATTCAGCAAGCAACTAGCAGTTTCTGTTACTTTAATTTATAAGACTATTGCCTTTCACGAGGAGAATTGACGAGAAGGCCCTTAGTGACACAGTGTGATGTCATCTGTCAGAGCCCTTATCTGGCAAAGAATCCAATTTGACATCCAGTGGAGTAAAGTAATGACGCCTGATTAGAATTGATGTGAATAATTATTTAAAGCGGGTGGGAGGCTATTTACTATGTGATAGTGGTCAACCCAGGTGATTAGCAGCCTATCTATGAAATGCTGTAAATATTCATATTCCGTGATTTTGCATTAGAGCATTATTAGTCCATGTTCCAATATCCACACTTACAAATTATTTCATATTCATATTCAAAATCTAATTCAATTTTAATTTAATTTAACTATTTTAAATATTATCAATATCAAGAGTTTGAGAGCTGGACTGGTCATCGAACCGATAAAGCTGCAGATTCAATAGGTCATTGATCGCACAAGTGGCTGAACCGGTCATTATTTTATTTTAATTCAAATATCATAGTATATTCGTGTATGAAAATATTGTAATAAATTCATATGAATAAATCTAAGCTCAAATATCATAGTATATTCTTATGTATGAAAATGACTGGTTTGGCCGAGCTAAGAAAATGGTGGAACAAATATTTGTTCTTCCCCAAAACTATGAATGCGAGATTGCTAGGTTTTAACATGGTGAGCCATTCAAAAATAACACCAGCAACTAAAAAAAAAAAATAGTCTAAAATAATTATACAAATGAATGATGGTATGAGCATGTTACAACAAGTTGATCTTACCAAATACCAACAAACTCTAACATCCCTTGGCAACAAAGGTGAGTTCCCAAGTTGAATTGTGCTTTAATAACTGACCATCAATAAAAATCGTTCGACTCCAAATGGCCTCTCAGTTGTAAACCTTCAGGTTCTTTCTTGAACTGCTTCGACTCTATGTAGTTTCGAATAGACATTCTGACCTTGCTCACTTTGGCGCTCCATGACTCGGATCCACCTTCTTTCAGTGCATTGAGAAAGTCACGAGCAACAATGCACATTAACTTCTCAAACTGATTTCTGTACCTCCTATACAGGGCGAATCCAGCCATCTGGGCACCAACCAAAATCTCTTAATATTTTGTTACTGAACAAATGCGTTTCAAGCTATAGGTAAATAATGCGAGATTTTGCAAATTTTGAAGGAAAAAAAAAAACATAAAAGAAAATGGCGGCAGAGAGAAATTAGCAATGTTCTGAAAACTGGACCGGACCGGCCGGTTCGACCGGTAACCAGCCCATCTAACGGTCCGGTTTGAGGTGTAGAATCGTAGGAGCCCAAAACCGGGCACAAACCGTTCGAACCGGTAATAAACTGGCAAAACCGCTCAATCGGAGGCGGCTTATACGGACGGACGGTCCACCTACTACTTTGCACTAAAGCTTGTTGTGAGCGTATAAATAGCACAATTAGTTTTGTACTGCTTCCGAGGTGGGAGACGTGGGATTTCAAAAACAAGGGATTACTGGAAATTGAGCCTTCATTATTGGGCCTTATTTGTTTGTTGCTGGAAATCAAGGCCTTTATTTATTGCTTGGACCCTTGCCTTATTGCTGAAAACTAAAGCCTATTGATTACAAGTTATAAGCCCACAATAATTAAAATATATTCCAACCTAATGGTTAAGTTATAAGCCCACAATAATTAAAATATATTATAAGTGTAGACTTAGCTACCATGTAGCTAAAATAATTACTTAATTAGAATATTCACGATTTATTTATTTTTATTTATTTAAATAAATGTCATTATACACTACAAAATTAATAATAACAATATGTATAACTATATATTGTACATATAAAATAAATAAAAATTATATATTAATTAAACCGGTTGAACCGGTAGCTTCACCTGTTCGATGACCGGTTCGGTTTTCAAAACATTGGAAATTAGTCTTAATTTATTTATCCCCATTAGCTTTCCTGACAATTTGCCTTTTGCTTTTCATATTTTAGTTTCAAGCCACAATTGCTGACCTCAGACAGAAGACCAAATTTTTGGATGAGCCAAAACTGATCCCCAAAAACAATCCAAAATTTTTAAAATCGGCTCTTCCATAGTTCATTTATTTTTTTAGTTTACCTGGTTGCCAACTTCTAGCCAAGAAAAGAATTTTTTTTTTCCTAACTAAAAGTTGAGAATCACATATCCATGGAATTTTTCAAACATTCCCAAAATTGACAACTTACTTCCAGAAACGAATGCAGTGCCACAGCAGTGTAAAGATTTGCAGGAAGAGAATTCAAAACTCTTGCAAGCCACGCCCAACCTTCTTTGAGTCCATGCAGGTTCTCAAAGCCTCCAACTTCAGTCTGACATATTCAAAACAATTGTGATACTGATAATACTGCTTCAGTGTAAAGCCAACAAAGGCAAAATTCACAAGAGAACTCAGCTAATAATTGAAACCTGCACTAGAGCTCCATAGAGCCTCATGTAACACTCCAATCTCTCCACGAATTTATCAATGCTTTCCATCTCTCCATTTTCTTCCTTGTAACCAATAGTTTCGAAGTAAGCATCTTTGGTTTTGAATGATTCCTGAAAGGGGTGAAGAAAGAGGTGGATTTCAATGTGACAAGATATTTAGAACTTAGAATCTAATTATGCAGAAATATTTTTACAGGTGGAACAGTACTTATCAAAGTTGCATCACTGAAGAATTTTTAGACAGGAATACAGTTTAAATTATCCATTATTTCCAGGGTGCATTCAACATGCGTGGAAGAAAAAGTCATGGAAGAAGTGGAGCTTGACCAATCACCTGTGAGTAATTTATGTGCTTCGGGACTGTATAGATACAAACTCTATTCAATTCGGCAATGAGAATGTCCATGGCCAGATGAATCTGTCATTAATAAACAACGAAGATCTTAGTGAGAAGTTGAGTCCTGAAGTTTGAAGGTATACAATGAGTAAACTTCATCCTTCACAGCACTAAATTTGTTCATAGACAGATCCTACAGGGCTCTCAGCCATGTAATGAGAGATGAACAGTTGGTGTAAGTAGTTAAGTACATGCTAATAGTAAACTTCACCCTTTAATTACAAAAAATGATTACAATTCATATTTAATTTTGAGCAAGAATAAAAAGATTAGGAAACAAATATACGCCAATCAGTTGTTCAAGGTTTCTTTAAGATATAGAATAGATTAACCATATTGGGTACTTTGACTCTTAAATGTGTCAAGCAAGGTAAACTCGTAATTTCAAGCATTCCTTTTCTAAAATATTGCCTGTCACAAAATAAGACACAGAAAAGCAGAGATACCGAACAAGGAAATTACACTAAAAGAACTTTCCACAATACCATAATTATCTGATAGGGCATGGATATGCAGATTCATTAAAAGTACATGATGGAGTAAAAGAGACATGGAAACAGATGAAAGAAAAACACCACTCAAAATAAAAGGGTTACCACGAATGTTGATAACACATCCAAGCAAGAATATATATTTGCCCAGCTCCTAGAGCTATTATTACTTTTCTTCAAGATTATATTATGCATGTTTCCGAGGAAAAGATGTATATTTATAGCATAAGATAAATAGAAAAATTAAGTGAGAGTACATGATACGGTAATCCCTAATTTCCACTCCCTGGCCATAGGATGAGAGGGGGGGCGATTAAATGTAGAATTTTTTATTATTATTTTTTTTTTTTTTTGGTAATATTTTGTCTAACTGAACAAGAAAAGTGGGAAATTTTGGATTAATAATTAAACATTTTTGAGATTATGAATAGATATAAAGATAAAAATATAATAATTAATATTGATGTGATATAAACATAGTTAAATATTAATTGGTAGTTACAAATGTGAGTGGGTAAATAGTGTTTTTGGTTAGGAAATGTGTGGTAAAGATTATTTTTATTTTCAAATTACATTGACGGAATTGAAGAGAAAAAGGTTCAAAAATTGATCCTATATCTTCTGAAAATGTTATGTTTCCAATCACAAGCTCAATAAAATTGTCTACCAACACAAAATAGAAAATTTTCTACATCTAATGACACCCTCAATCCCATATTTATCCAAATACTTTAGATTTATACGAGTACATTACATTCTTAATGTAGTTTGTACGAAATGCAGCTATGGGATTATCTACTTGAAAATTTCGAGCATTTTATGAATAAATTATATCTGGACGAAGTACATGGTAAACTATACGATTTGTTTTGTACTGTATAAAGATGTTACAGGGAGGATCAATGGATATACGAGTAGCTTATGTAATTGTGATTTTTCCTAAGCAGATCAAATGCATACTTGCCTCCGAAACTGTTATCAACACCATATCCCAACCAAATTGCCCAAACTATAGGTCGTACTACGGAATAATGAAAGCTAAATTTAATTCGTTTACTAATACTAAAATTAACCAAAATTTTTAAAATCAGAACCAGAGTGTGTCTTACCTTAGTCGTCACAATAACAATTACGCGGCTAATAGCAAATATGACATTGGAGCTCCTCTGATTTGCACAGTTGGAAACAATCTGCAAGCATAATGTACCCATTAAGGGATTTTAAACACCAGTTTTTATGAGCATAATATGCTACAGTACCTAAAACACAGTAATTAAAAAAATTTGAAGCAAATAAAGCAAAACCAATAAAAAGTAAACTCTTGCAACGGACAACCTTTTCAGCAAATAACTGAATACTGATGGGTTGAGGCAAGCGCGGACTATTAATTAGCTTCAATAATTCTTCTGCTCTTGTTCTGGGTCAAAAGAGAACCAAAATGTCACATTAAACTACTAAAGAACATATTTATATATAAACTTAGAACAAACAAGATTACAGATCAGTGTAATGCCAAAAAGTTGGGATATAGAATCCAACTTACCTCACATTTTCTACTGTAGCTGATACTGTTTTAATCTGTCTTCCAATAATCTGTCCATGTCTCTGATAATCCTGCATGACAAACAGCCATTGATGACACACAAAAGAAAGCAATAATTAACCACATTTCACATATTCTAGAAGAGCTAACTATTCGAAAATAAATAACACAGAAAAAAGTTTCTGGGACCTGTGCGCTTCGCTGTTTGATGAATAATGCGAGTCGAAACATTTATAGTGTACCATCCAGTTAATACTTTAGATAATAGGAGTTTTAGAATTCAAATCAATCTCCATAAAGATATACCTGGGTTGCACTCTCCTTAAAAGCCTTGTTTTCTGCCAACAACTCTCCATAAATCTGACTTCTTTGTTTTTCCAACTTAAGAGCATTTTCTGAAGCTCTTATAACATTTCTTCCTGCCAACAATAATACATAAGAAACTCAAAATGAGGTACATACTCTTACCTGCAGATAAGTATAGAAGAAACCTGATGATTGCACTCCTTTCTTAACATCAAATGCAGAATTGGATAGCCCAAGAGTTCCCTTAGAATCTTGCACTACATTTTCAGCATTACGTCTTAAGGTTTCAGCAGCACGTTTGGATGCAGCTTCTTCTGCAGCTTTCTTCTCAGCTTCTATTGCTGCTGCTTTAGCTCTCTCGGCCCTTTCAACTTTTAGTCTTTCCTGCATTATTACTCAATAAATCATCTATTATTACCAGCAAATATATTATGGAAGAAAAAATGGACGGGGCATAGGAAATAAGTATGATTAAATATTCAGAAACGTCAGATAAATAAATTTGAATAAAATGGAGATTCATATGGAGGCAAACCTCTTCTTCTGCTTTAATCCTTTCTTGTCGCATTTTTTCTTCCTGAATAGCCTTTTCTTTTCTTTTAGCCTCCACACGAGCAGCATCATCTCTTATTCTTTTTTCTTCTAGTTGAGATATGTGCTCATGATCCCTCTGCACAGCGGTAAGGTGATTATCAAGTGCTTCTGCACTAAAGAAGAGAAAGGTCAGTGGAACATTCTTCAAATCAAACATAAGCCCACACTTCAACCACTGGTGAAAGAGAGATGAAATTGTATAAATGTCTTCCCGTAAATGGAAAGTACAAGTTGGTGTGACTATCTACATTACTATCATATTCCTCCAAGAAAAATAATCGGTGGCAGCACTTGCTGATATGTATGATTCCATTTTCCCAGTGCATAGAATATATTTTTCTTAGTGTTATTTACTTTCAGACGATTTTCTATAATTTAGCTCACTTCCAATTACAGTACACTTCAAAGGGAGCGAATGGAGGAGCAAATAAGAAAAGATATCAGGAACTAATGATTTTACATTGTGCGTTGATATTGCAAATCGAATTTCCTCTCCCTTTCCTGCTGTAATTCTCTCTGTTTGTCTATTTTAGTTGTCGATGAGGCAAAATCTTCATTTTCACAGAGCAGCTGAGTCTCCAAAGACGATATTTTGGATCTCACTTCCTCCTACAGCCAAGACAACAAAATTCAATGTCAGGCAACAAAGAAGCTATTACATCACTTTTATGTGATAATTCCTAACATGGGAGATGCAAAACCTAAATTCACCTATCAAAAAAGAAGTTTTCGCAACTCACCTATATGTGAAAGAAAAGAGAACTCGATGGAAGGCATCAAGGCACTGACTTCAACTTAAAAATGCGGGCTGAAGTATGAAATTTAATGTGATTTTTTTGTTATCTCAAGTTTCAAAAATGTTGTCAAATGAAGGTTCAACCATCAAACTCTTCAAATTCATGCACACGGCACTTATCCTATTCATCATGCACTACCAATTCTCAACGATAGAAATGGCGTTGTCATCAAACACATCATATTAAAATTGACTGAAAAAGTTTTACATTTCTTATTATCAATTCCTTAACAAATGCACAATTTCAGTAAGTTGTGCTACTCACTGTTGTAATTAGCTGAAATTCATCGATTAGCTCATGGAGAGCACCATCAACTAAGCCCACTGTATCCATCAGAGGACACCCACTATCAGAATCGTCACTGCCAATTCAAGAAGGAAATGGCAAAATAAGATGATAATTGAACCATAATATGTGAATAAATCCATCAGCCAATTGCATTAAAAATGTCCAAGTTTAATCAAATTTGGGGGAAAACTACATTTAGCACAGATTTACATTTCATGCAACTCTAAGAAACAAGTCGTGGGAGATTATACCACGTACTTTTTACATCATCTTAACTCAACCTGAAGTATAGGGTAAATCTGTATGATTTGAAATATTAGACACTTACTATTCACCTCCAGACCATGGGAATTATGAACATTTGACTGAGGAACAAGAAATGATAACAAGATTAACAAGATCGATATGATCCATACAGCTAAGATTTGCCACTGTTAGATTCATATGGCAAGGTTACAATTGCTTCATGGCTCAACCAGAACTAGTAATTGATATCCAACTCCAACCTATCTGTGCTCAGTAATATTCAGAAATTTCTTGCAATAATCTTAATACCACCCACCCACTCGCGTCAATCTCCACGTTCGAATCCATCTGTGATTTAATATTTGAAAATTCTTGCAATTATCATAAGCCCCCACCCACACCAAAATCCATCTTCCATCACACAGAAAAGCCAGAGATACTTTCAATCAACACAATGTGACAACTCAAATCTACAATCTCTTGGAAACCAGTCTTTCCTTGATCCTCTAAGAATCACTTCAGTGGCACACTTTATGACAAGCAGCTCATATATCCAAATCTGATTTTACTTGTGAGTTGCTGATGCATCAGAGTTGATCGAATAACACATACTATACATGTTTCCTATGTTTTATATAATATTAAATGGCAATGTTACCCAGAGCTAATTAACAAAACAAAATGAAGGAAAAAAAAAAATCAGTTCGAGCATGAGCCACATTAGACTGCTTCATATTCTGCCACTTATATAAAGAAGGTGATAATATTGCAAACTATCACGACGCTTTGAAATTTATATTCCGTTTTTATTATTAAACTAGAAGGCTGCAAGCTCAAACCTCATGTAGAGCTCATCACAAACAAATCTTCTCCCAGAAACCATGGAAGAACTACGAGGCACCTGTTCACAATCTTCATCAGTGTCGCTTGACCCACTTTCATCGGACACGTGCATAAGAAAGCCTCGGGCATGATGAGAATTGTCTCTAGAAGCTCTGAATTGTATGTGAAATTCAATTAACAATCATAAACTGTTACACCATGGAAACAAACTAACAAAAAGGGTAAGAACATACGTAGGTCGTGTTCTGTTAAGAGGTCCAGCAAAATCTGGAGCCACATCTTGCTTCTGGTATATAGAATCAAGCTCTGAGAGTAAGTTGTCGATACTCCAATCTGGTTGGGGATCAGCAGCTATCCCGTTAACAATTTTCGGACAACGAAGTTCCAATTCAATAGCTCCCCTGGTTTTAATAACAAAAAGCCAATTATTCTACTTTTCCGATTAAATTGAAGAAGATTATCCAATATCTCCAAATATCACCAACACAGCAGATGGATAAAATAATGTCAAGACTGAAGGTTTTTGGGTAAGTAGAATTCAGACCACAGACACAATTCCTATAATAATAATCAACAAAAAATAGAAAGCTTACATTATTTCACCCTGTGATGGCTCCCTTTTTTCTGACAACTCGTAAGATCTGAGTCAAACTAATTTCATCAATTTTATTTGCAATAAATAATAGCACAAATAGTTGAGTAAATCATACAGAAAATCACACAATATTTAGGACTGTGTGTAACGCCCCACTTTTATTTGTCGAAAATCAGAATAAATTTTTCAAAATTTATTTCAAAACACTTGAGGCGCTACTCATTTTCAAACGAACTTCAATACTTAACCAATTTCTCAATACTCAAACAATCATCAAACTCAATCATCAACAATATTACTAACTCCCAAAACGGGTTTTCCAAAATTCATAAATCACCCAAACCGGGTTCCAACAATATTCATAATTTCTAACGAGCATCTCTTTAACATTATTCAATCATAAAATCCAAAAATCTTAAATGCAATACTACTCCAAGTTCATAATCATAAAAACTAGTTCATGAAAGCGGAGGCATAACAAATAATAAGACCAGTCTTATAGACCGACCACCACTCACTCTACTCCGCCGTCGTGCCTGCCTCGCTTAACCTGAAACGTGAATTTCAGGTGGGGATGAGCACAGTTGGAAAAAGTAGTGCTCTGCAGTAAACATTATTCACAATAATGAAACAGTAATCAATAAGGTATGGTCTCAGCATGTATACGAAGCAATAATCTATCCCATTCGCCCGTCAATAATCAGACTCATGTGCACACCTACGCATAGACTACTGCTGACTATATATCGAATGCCTCGGGACCTACATCGAGTGTCAGTCAGTAGGAGTAATTCATTACTGCGGGGTAAAATACCGAATACCCCTCGGGCTTCTATCGGTGCCCAAGCCAGTAGGAGTAAATTCTCAAGGGAGATTACCCAAAGGATACGTTCTATAGCTACGGGGATAACCGTTCAACGGCCGGTACAGCTCATATCGAAAGCTACATGGTTCACATGCATACATTGATCATACCACAAATTATACATTAATAACATTTACCGCATAGCAAATTTTAAATAAAACCCACCTAGATATAGCAAGAGGTATAGCTAAACACGGAATTGAAGGAACTATGGCACAAGTTCAGCTCAAAGAACCTACAACAATTTATAATAGCCTATCACTGTCTATCCAATACAAAACACCACACAAGGCACATATACTTAGCCGAAATCATATCGACTAAGTGACTCGTGGATTCCTTGACCGAGTTAAGTACTATGGAGTGACTACCAGACCTGGACACAACTCGAATACCTCAGATATTACACATAGATCATGCCGACATTAATAAAATCCCATCCGAACCTAAACAACAGATAACCGAGCATTAAGACTCCAAAATAAACCAAATTCAGAATTAGAAGTTAGGCTCAGCCAATCAACCTGAAACTTTACCACATCATAAGGCATATAAAAACACATAAACCCACCAAGTTTCAGCCCTAAATTCATCCAGGAGCATTTTTAAATAATTTAAGCAAAAACAGCGCCAAAATCGGCATTTAATGGTTCGCATAGCTACACTTCAAATTTCAATCTAAAATTTTTACACAACATAAAACAACACAAAATAACATATTCCTCCAAGTTTCAGCTCAAAACTCCAAGTGTACGATTTTTAATAAATTTTACGAGTTTCTGCCCAGAAACCGATTTAAGCATTTGAACACCAAAACTCAAACAGGGGCTTGGCACACACATTCCACATACTCAGAGGCACAACATATCAAAAATTTAGCCAAAACGGGCAACAACTCGATTTATGGTGAATTTATTACGGTTCAACCGCATGCTCAGTTTAGAAAAATCATAACTCCCTGTATACAACTCGAAACGACCTCAAACCAAAACCAATAAATCAAGGACAACTCCAAGTACCTATAACTCCAGGATTTCCACAAAATATACCACGTTAAATTCAGTTCGACAATAATTCAAAGTGGCGGCAATCACTTTGATATCCAATTTGCAAATATATATTAAAATTCTCACAAATACTTATCTAAGGCACGTAAATTAGCTCGAAATTCACACGATCAGCACATAATATATCAAAGTATCACAAATCACGAAATCATAAGGAGACGGGTCGAGCCTTTTACCGTTCTCGGGAATCGAACAAAAACGAAACGAAGGGTTGACGGGAAGCTGGGTGGCTCGAGGAGGATCAGCGGCTCAAGGGTGGCTGCTCGCGGTGTGAACAGCTCGACCGCTTTCGCTTGGGCTCGCCGGCGGAAGTGCACGGAGGAGCAGCGGCGTAGAGGCGGCTCGAGAAGGAGCAGCGACGGACGAGGCCAGAACTCGTCGGAAATGGTCGCGTGAACGGAGCTAGGAGCTCGCTGCTGCGATTGGGAGAAGAGAGCTTGAGGGCGTCGGTGGTCGCGGACACGGCAAAGTCGGAGTTGGGGGCGAGGGCTTTCTGTCGCGTCGCCGTCGGTGGCAGTTGCCGGCAGCGTGGCCGCGCTGTGGTGGTCGGTGAGTGGAGATGCAGAGCTCGAAGGTGAGCGAGGGTCACGAAATCGCTGGAGGTTGAGGTCGGCAGGTCATCGCCGGTCGGAGATCGTGGTGAACAGAGCTCGAGGTCGCCGGAGATGGAGTCGGGCTTCGCGTCGCCGGAAAGTGCAGGAGTGCCGTCGGATATGTTCGCTGAAATCGAAACAGGGAACGGCGACAATCGTGCTCGCCGTCGACAGGAAAGGGTCGCCGAAGTTTGAGCTTGTCACCGGTCGTCGGCGGAGGGCAGGTCAGCGGTCGTCGGCGGAGAGAAAACGACGAAGAAGCGGCGGTGAGAAGAGAGCTGTTGCGGCGTGAGCGTGTTTCAAGAGAGAGAAAGAGCTAGGGTTAAACTTGCGTGTGTATTTAACAAAATCTGCTGGGTTATTGGAAGTGGGTCAATTGGGCTGAAAAGAGATGTATTTAACAAGAAATGACCTATCACTGAGATCGAGAATCGAATAATCTGCCTTTGAGATCGAACACCATATAACCACTGAGCTCGAAAATCGAAGGACTCACCACTGGGGTCAAACACCGGAAGCCGAATGACCATTGATGTTGAAAACCGAGTGACCCGCCACTGAGGTCGAACACCAAAAGCCGAACGACCACTGAGGTCGAAAACTGAGTGACCCGTCACTGGGGTTGAACACCAAAAGCCGAACGACAACTGAGACCGAAAACCAAGTGACCCGCCACTGGGGTCGAACACCAAAAGCCGAACGACCACTGAGGTTGAAAACCGAGTGACCCGTCACTGGGGTTGAACACCAAAAGCCGAACGACAACTGAGACCGAAAACCAAGTGACCCGCCACTGGGGTCGAACACCAAAAGCCGAACGACCACCTAAAAGCCGAACGACCACTGAGGTAAAAAACCGAGTGACCCGCCACTGGGGTCGAACACCAAAAGTCGAACGACCACTGAGGTCGAAAACCGAGTGACCCGCCACTGGGGTCGAAAACCGAGTGACACGCCATTGGGGTCGAACACCAAAAGCTGAACGACCTAACGCCACATTCAGGTCGAACCATGATTCATAGAGTAGATTCCTTTGCTATTCATTTTGCAATGTTGACATTCCTTTGATATCCCTTGACCTGTTTATCTGAATTTCCATGATACTTTCATAGATTTTTCCAATCTCTCCCCGAAGTCTTGAATTTGAAAATTTGAAATCACGTCTGTTGTTTTCTGATCACCATGTTCGAGCTCTACCACCTCGTCCTAACATCGCCCCTCAGTTCAAAATTTGAAATTCAACCCTGCTGTTTATCCTCTCGAGAACCGAATGTCCTGATGCCACACTAAAGTCGAAAAATCAAATTCGACAAAACCAAATAAGACCATCGACCTGCCATCGAGGTCGTCGAATAATCTCCACTAATTGATTCAAATGAACTCCATCTCGACCCGCTATTGAGGTCGAAAAATAGATTCGACAAATCCAAACCAAGCAAGAATAATCGACCTGCCAACGAGGTACTCGAATAATCTCCATAAGTTGCACCAAATGAACTCCACCGAATCTCGACCTGCCACTGAGGCCGAAAAACAATTTTGACAAAATCAAAACCATACACCAAATCAAGTAAAGCAATTGTCCTGCCCCCGAGGTCTCCGATAGGCTCTGTGAATTACACCAAATAAACTCCTTGGACCTGCCACTTCGGTCGAAAAATAAATTCGACAAACCCAAAATCAAGTAAAGATCATCGACCTGCCACCAATTAATATAAACATATTGCCATCTTTATGTAAGTTCAAAATTATTTATTAATTATAAATATATCAACGTGTGATGTGATTATATAACAGTGAATAAGATTGACAATACGATCGAAATGCATAAGAAATATTTTACACGTACAAAGCTTCCAAAAAATGGCTTTCCTCTTTGTGGCGATCAAAATATTGACAAACTAATTACCCCCAACAGGCATTGAAACTTCGTCTGATTAGGATGTACGAAAGAGTTACAACCCATGGAGAAAATATATCAATATAATGTATCAATCCATTTTGCCAAAATTGGCAAACTTTTTCCCGCCAACATTTTTCAGATAAATTTGGACATATTTTTTGTTAAGTCATTTTATATTCATTTGGTAAGTATTGTATATTCACACATAATATATTGAATTTATTTGGCATATTCATGCATGATATATTGGAAGGAACAAGAAAGCTTATATATTCAAATTCAGGATTAATCTTTATTTGGTAATATATTGGCATATTCACGCATGATATTTGTTGACATCCGAGTTCGCCCATAAGACCGAACCCGACAACATAGTTTCAAAAACCGAACCGGAAACCCGACCTGGTGTAAAAGTGTCGAGCTCGACTCTAAAATTTGTTGACCCTGACGTTCCGACGGACCCGTCCTTCAACTCGGCGTTTGACCGTTGTAAGGGGCTGGTGCCGGTCTGGTGAGTGACGAGGTAGAAAGGAATCCGCCATCACCAAGGAAGCGAAATGGAAATAGGAGCCGTCCTGAGATCTCGGGACGGATGCCGATCTGAATAATAGTATAATAATGCCACTCGGAGGGTAATCATTGGCTGATGGATGGGACATCCTAGCCTGTTGACCTATCTCCCTTAGCTAAGACATAAAGCCTGCCAGCATTAAATGCTTGTCAGACAATGATGAGGGAAACCTCAAATCGCATTAAATTCTGTCAGGGAGGCGCCGAACTACTCTGCGACAAACACTGTACGACAAGACTGGTGAACAGTACCTGAACAGTGTCACATTTAAGACCACTATAAATAGCAACCAACTTCATCTATTTTGGGTTGTTGAATCCCAACTACTTGTACTCACTTTTTCTCTCTCTAAAAGATCTGTAAGGAATTCTTGTAAGAAACCTCGAAGTATATCGCAAGTACCGACCTCGTACGAGAGGCCGACCTCGTGATCATATAATAAAACTGCAATTAAACCGTATCTCTTTGTCCTTCCCTTATTTTCTTCCCTTTATTTAACTTTTTAACCGTTGACCGGAAACGCCCGTCAACAGTTTGGCGCTAGAAGAAGGGCACCATAAGTTATTTGGTGTCAACTTTTCGATCTTGTAAAACTCCACACCACGCTCATCCTTTTCCCACTTTTTCGCTTTCAAAAGCAACTCAAAATGCCTTCATCTGGACATGACGATTCCACCCAGCAATCCGGCTCCCAGCCTCGCCGCCGCAACGGCGGGGAGTCCTCCCGTCGCATTCAGCAGGGGCCCATAGTCCCTGTTCCCCCAGTTCCGACATTCGCTGCAGCTTTGCAGCACCCCGACGTCCTCAAGGCCCTCGAGGGGGTCTTCGCCAAGGCCCTCGCTAGTCAAACCGCCGGGGCGAACACTGTGATACCCACGGAGAACCCCGGTAACACTTTGCTCCACACTCCTGAAAAGGAGACCGGTGGACAGAGGAACCCAGCGAAATCCAAAACCACGGCCCAATCGCCGAACCGCGAGGCCCAGAACCGCCGCGACAGGAGTATCAGACCGGCTCCCACAGAACAGACAGGGGAGAGTCGGCCGGAGCGAAGCCTCCCGGTCGTTCGTCGCTCTGTCCACCAGCGCCTGGGTGACAAGAGTCACGCCAACCATGATCTCCGGGAGGTGATCAGGCGCGGAAAAGCCATCGGCCATGATACTGAGGAGGTCGCAGCCCTCAAGCGCAGAATTGCCGAATTGAAAGGTCGGCAACCCACCGGGAGTGAGCTTTCACTCCCAGCTCATCAACAAACCCATACACGGCCCACCCCCCGGGTCGCGGATAGCGCCTCACCTCTCTCCCTCGATATCCTGCAAGAGGCCGTCCCGAAGGGAATACAAATACCCCAGCTCGGCCTCTATGACGGGAGCTCGGATCCCGACTCGCACCTCGGCCTCTACACCTCGTGGATGGACCTGCACGGCGCCTCTGATGCCCTGCGCTGCCGTATGTTCTCTCTGACGCTGGGGCCCAAGGCGCAGAGGTGGTACCATTCCCTTTATCCCCGTTCCATCTCGACCTGGGCACAGCTCAGGTCGGCATTCCGGTCCCACTTCATCGGGTCGCAGGTTAATCTCGCCCCCAAAGAATCAATCTCCAACATTGTACAGGGCGAGAATGAAAGTCTGAAGGACTACATCGCCCGATTCAATGACCGGGTCCAAAACATGGAGCGGTGCCACCCGGACGCCCTGCTCATCACAGCCCAGGGTGGCCTCAGACCAAAGACGTTGTTCAGATGGTCCCTGTGCCAGAACAAACCGACCACCTACCAGGAGTTCCTCGCCCGCGCTCAGGACTATATCATGGCGGAGGAATCCTCATCCATCCCGACCTTCGACGCCACATCGGCACCGGCACCGGCAAAGGCGAAGGCAAAGGAGGAAAAATCGGGGAAGCCGAGCAAGTCCTTTGCTGAGATTCGAGCTCAGCGGAAGCAAAGGGCCGAAGAGCTGAGGGAGAGCTACCAGGGCGTCTTCTCGGTAGGGGCTGCGGCGGTCTACGAGGAAATCAAGGCCAAGGGGCTATTACCAGACCCCAAGCCGATGTTCACCGACAAGGACAAAGTAGACAAGACCCGCTACTGCACCTACCACAAGGCGCACGGGCATAATACCGATCAGTGCCGGAATCTTATCTCGGCACTTCTGAAGCTGATTGATGACCCCCAACTGCGGAAGTTCACCCATTCCGGAGACAAGAGAAAGAAAGGGGGGCGCTTTGGGGAAAACCCCGACAGTGACGAGGATGCCGATGTAAATCCCCGAAGGAAGAAGTCACAGCAGGGCGGCCCCCATGAGATCATGACCTTCTGCCCCACCCATCAAGATGAGGCCGGCACCTCCAGGGGCAGAAAAAGAGACCGGTCCCCTCGCACCGGGGCCGACCCGGCCAACTTCCCAACCCGACGTGTCAACACAAGCCGGAGCGAGTCCCTCCTCTCCTGGAGACAATCCAAGGCCTATGCCCGACAGGCCTATCACGCCGGGCAAAGGGTGATGCATGCCCACAGCAGGCCGGCGCCCGAGCCGACCCCAAACACCATCACCTTCAACGACGAAGACGCCTTCTTGTTCGACCATCCCCACTCCGACGCCCTGGTGATCACGGCGCCGATCATGGCGATAAAAATACACCGAATCATGGTCGACACTAGGGCCTACGCCAGCATCCTCTACTACGAGACCTTCAAAAAGATGGGGATCGATAGGAAAGAGGTGCAGCCTTGCCGGGAGCGGATCCAGGGCTTCAACGGCCAGACCATCGCTCCGGTTGGTCAGGTCACGCTACCGGTCCGGTTCGGAGAAAGGGGGCAGCCCACGAAGACGATCTTGGAAACCTTCAAAATCGTGGACTGCCCAAGTGAATACAACGCCA